CTTTTTTTTTTTTTTTTCAACGTTTATTTATTTTTGGGACAGAGAGAGACAGAGCATGAACGGGGGAGGGGCAGAGAGAGAGGGAGACACAGAATCGGAAACAGGCTCCAGGCTCTGAGCCATCAGCCCAGAGCCCGACGCGGGGCTCGAACTCACGGACCGCGAGATCGTGACCTGGCCGAAGTTGGACGCTTAACCGACTGCGCCACCCAGGCGCCCCTATTTGTGGGTAGTTTCTTAAACACAGACCACTTACCACTCTTTCCATTTGCAAACTAACTCAATTTGAGCTTAGCTGTGCTTTAGTTCACCTTCCCCATTCCATATTTATATATACAAACGTCTCTTACTCCCCACACTGGTAAGGTCCAGTTAGCCCAAAGTTCTTATGTATTGACCGAAAACAACTGTCTTCCTTTGGCTGAAACTAACAGGATCCAATATTAATGCCTGTGCCACAGGTTTCCCAGCAGGAATGCTCTTTAGTGGTTGGTAACCAAATCACTGACCCAATCAGTCCCATTGTCTAGAGATGGGAGGAGAACGATGTAGGACAGCAGAGGCAACAGAATTGCTAGGCACAATAGTAAAGCCACTGGGCACTGTTTTAACTTCTGAATAAGATCTGTTACTCAGGATTGCATGGGTGGGTTTCTTACTTGCAACCAGGAAAGTCTCAGTACATTTCCTCTTGCTTTAAAATTCACATTCACCTTGAAGTAAGAATCAGGTGACCAGAGTTCTCATCCTGGTGCCTTCAGGGAATGAAAACTTACCCCTGAGGACATCAGTACCTTACCTATAAAGGGAAAAGTTAAATGGTCTATCGTACCTTTAAGGTACTATATGTTTTACTTATAATTCTAACTTAAATGTTATTACATTAGCTAGAAAAGGATAAAGCTGTAATTTCATAAATAGGATTTACCCTGGAAACTGAGACGTATAAAATATAGTTCTTACCAAGCAAGAAGCTTCTATTAAGTGCACTTATGTGCATCTCATGAGCATAAGGTAGTAAGATACTCAGAATCAGTTTAGCAAAGCAAGGACAGTTTCTCCTGCTAACATGGCATTAGAAAAGAAGCAACATGTTAAACACCAAATAGCACTAGTTGATACATTTCTCAAAAAATTACCACAGGAACTAACAATCCCAACAACTTATTAAAACCAGTAACAGAATTCATAGAATCTATTCACATTTATCTATACCTATTTGCAAAATTTTCCTCGTTTCCTGTTTGCTAATGGGCATTTCTGGTAGTAAGTAGGTAACTACCTTAGATTGTTATAGTTTTCTGGTTACTTAAAATTCTTTTCCAACCTCTAGTATGCACCAAAACATTCATTTTTTCCAACAAGCTTACATTGGTTGTCTTTTATGTGTCTGGCATTGAGGATAGAGTCTAGTGAAGGGAATGGACACACAAGAACAAACAATAATGCACGGGAGGAGGTGCAATGGTCAGAGTTTATGGGAACACAGCAGAGAGAGGCTCCTGATACAGCTTGGAGTTGGGTGAGAGGTGGAAAGGGATTCGAGGCCGAAAGAGGACAGAATGAGCATCAGGCATGGAGGAGACACTGCATACAAAAAGAAGGAAAGAGGAAAGAACAAGATAAGCATTGCAGTAGCTGAGGGTTGAAGGCAGGACATGGCAAGAGATGAGGCTGTAAGTGTATAGGTCAGGGTCAGATTCATGTTCAGGCACTTGTAATTCATCCTACAGGCCATAAAATACCAGTGAAAGATATTCTTAAAAAATAGCTCTTTGGTTGTTTTTTCTTATTTCTTAATGTATCCATGTTTATTGAAGACATTCTGAGGGATTTTACTTTATTTTATTTTAATTTTGAGAGAGAGAGACAGACAGACAGAAAGAGTGCAGGAGCGTGAGCAGGGGAGGGGCAGAGAGAGAGGGAGAAAGAATTCCAAGTAGGCTGTGCTCTGTGAGGACAGAGCCTGCAGTGGAGCTCAAACTCACAAACAGTGAGATCATGACCTGAACCAAAATCAAGAGTTGGACGCTTAACTGACTGAGCCACCCAGGCACGCCTATTTTATTTTATTTTTAAAGTAGGCTTCATGTCCAGAGTGGAGCCCAACACAGCGCTTGAACTCACGACCCTGAGATCAAGACCTCAGCTGAGATCAAGAGTCAGATGCTCAACTGACTGAGCCACCCAGGTGGCCCATATTGAGAGATTTTAAGAAGAAGTGAGATATTAGCCTCTGTTAACATGCTCTCCCAACAATCTAATAATATGTCTACTAATCCTCCCACTGTTCCCAATCACACATTCACATGCAAAAACATGAGCACTGAGGCTCCAACTGCTACCCTTTGGTTACCAGTAAAAGCATCATCTCTCATCAGAGCATAGATGGCCCAATGTCTCATGTACCTGTAATGCCCATCTATACAGCTACCTACTAAATTGTAACTTGGCCAATAGGAAAGTAGGACTTAAATTATCAATGTAATTTGTCCAGAATCTCTTGGTTGTTCATTCATTGTCATCTTTAATCAAAACAAGTAATCTTGAAGAATTCAAGTGAGCAGCAAAATGCATCATAAGCAGAAAGGACAGATATGTTGGCAATGATATGGAAGTTTTGGTTTTCAATCAGAGTTCAGAGTTAAATCCAGATTGACTCAGGGTGAGAATGGCTGGTTGTTGGGTTGTTGTCCTCTACTGGGTAGCTAGGGGCTGTGAGATTCTGATAATTATTGATGGAAATAACCATAAAAGTAGAACAAGATGAATCATGTTGTCATAGGCCTAGATGTGACCCCTGGAAACTGAACTGTACTGTGTACTATTTGGCAATTCTATTATCTAGGATGAAGTCATTATCTAAATAATGGGTTAGAGGACACAGATTTAATGATTTCTCTTTTCTCATAAAACTCAAAGTTTAACATAGGCAAGAAGATGACTTTGAAATTGCCAACTCAAGACACACGAGTCTGAAAACAAATGAGACCTAGAAGTTTTGCTCTCACAACTTAGCATTTATTAAACTCACCAGCCACAGATGAACACAAAATAAAAAGGTTCAATCTCCTCAACCAATGCATAATACAAAAATGGTATTGCTAACTATCAACCATGGAACCAATTTCCTTGGGAAAAAAAGGTTATAACTTCATGATATTTGAGAAGGAATATGAAAAAGAAGTGAGAACCTACATAATTATAGATTTAGACCAGAGCTTTCCTTATAACTCTTTCTGGTTGTTTTTCAAATTAAATTATGTGCTTGATCTTCAAACCAGAAAAATAGACACTTTAGAGATAAAATATCTTCAAGATAGGTTTATTTTTAAATGTATTGGACTATCTGCATCTTTTATTCATTTTGTGGATAAAAAGCATAATCAAAACTTAACCAAATATAGTAAAAACTGTATAAAAACATGTTTAAAAAGTACATTTTCCAAATAACATGCTATATATAAGGAAGTTCAAGATATTTCATTTGTTATTTTTGAGGCAATTGCTTATTTATCACAGTAACAAGCTAACAAGAATTGCTATTAGATTTATTTAAATTAGATAAAAGACTAATTTTATAAGGCCAGGATTTATGAAAATTAAGAAAGCCCAAAGCAGATTGATATTGTGAATTTATCATATTGTAAATGTTTTCATTGTTCTTACAGATCCATGCCACTTCAGTGACCATGACCATTTCTGTATGATTCAAATGAAACTGGTAATGTGACCCAGTCATGAGCACAGAAAGGTATGAGCTAGCCCCTGAACCTTACCTTGGGGTTTCCCCTAACTGCTCCCTTCTTTCAACTGGCTTACATACATGATTTCACCTGAGCCAGTATTGCTGGAAAAGGACTAACATGACCTTGTCAT